CTGGAAAGAAGGATGGGAAAAGATCAATTAAAAAGATTAAAAACCAGAACAATCCAGCAATTTCTTTCAAAGAAAGAGGCACTCGTGATGCACCCAGATTTCTGCTGCCATGCAAAAGAAGGAATTTCTGTCAAAATGAATCGGATAAACGTCATACATGAGAAATGAATGTGAGCCCTGCCGACTTGGGACTCAGGATGAAAGCAGAGATGTTAGGAGAGAATTGCTGGCTCTGTTCCATTGCAGCAGATTCAGGAGGGGTGGAAGGATGATGTTAGGGGCCAGAGCTGTGTGTACCACGTGGACTGCCTTGTGCCCCCCAAGACTGACCTCAAATGCAGGGGGAGACACTGCCTCGTCATCCATGTCGAAATAAAGATTCAGCTGGCACTCCACTCAGCCTTTGTACTCGTACACAAAAAAGTTGGGGGAGGGAATCAAATAAATGCAGGCAATGAAAATTGAGTGGTGTGATGATAATCTTTGTAAAGATAGTTTAGTTAGGTATTTTATTCCCTCCCTTCTCCTGTTTCAGAGGTTGTTACCTGCCCTGGAGTGGACTGGAGTTGAAATGAAAATAAATGAGTTAGAAGAAGTTGCTTTTAATTAATTGCTATCCTTCCCTCTGTGTCTTCCACCTGAGCCAGCTTGTTATGTGGATGTTCAGTCCTGAGAATCAGGAATTCCCCTAGACTCCTACGGCTTGCATCAACTTGCATGCAGGTTTTGGGTAATGTGGGCAGCTTTATTTTCCTTTCTTTTTTTTTTAAGGTAAAAATTGAGGCAAGGCTATCTAGCAAAAATGCCATCTACCATGTGAGACAAACAACCCATTAAGGAACTGAGTTAGGTGATAAAAATCAGACTTCAAAGCTGTCAGAGGAACTCCTTAAGGGCATTGTCACTCAAAAGTTGCAAAATACTTCTGCAAGGTCTTGGAGTTGATCATCTGCAGCTTGAGCTATAGGAGGAACCTCCTGTTAGCTGAATTCCCATTGCTTTGGGCTGACATCGGTTAATCTGTCATTTCCTTCCTTGCTTGCTTGCTTGCTCATTTACTCACTCACTTATTTGTGTTATATTTCTAACCCACCCTTCTCCAGTGAACTCAAGCCAGTATACATGGTTCTCCTTCTCCTCACTTCTTCCTCAAAACAACTCTATGGCTGACAATGTGATTGGCAGGAGCAGCAAGATATAAATTTAGCTAGTAAATGAAAGGTTGGTGCCTATTAAATAAAGAGTCACGATAATAAAGACAGGACACAAGCCGAAATCAGCTAGGAGACTCTAACAGCTGTATATTGGTAATCAGGGAGATATTTAAGTTACAATCCTCCTTCCTGACACACTGATTTTTCTCTATAGAGGAAAACTCTATAAAGTAGTGTTTCACAAGCTTATATTGAGGCACAACATATGTAAGTTCCTTCCTTCCTTCCTTCCTTCCTTCCTTCCTTCCTTCCTTCCTTCCTTCCTTCCTTCCTTCCTGGTTCAGGAACAGTATAAGGCAAAATTCAAGCATAGTTTAAGGCAAGCAATGCTTAACTTCCAGAAATGTTCAGGCACACTGTAAGGCTTCGATCCTTGATGTCCCCAGGGTCCCTCTGTATGCAAGTGGGGCTACTTAGAAGGTCCCCGGGAGGTTCCATCTGTGATGGTAGCTTCCCTCTGGAACACATACGGCCATTTTTAAAGGCGAGAGGGAGATGTGCTAGACTACATTGGAGGGCCCTCCAGACTGTGGGACCACACAAGGAGATTCTGATGGTCACAGTATTCTCAGGCGTAGGTTGCTCTCTTTTTTTGAACTCTTTATGGGACTGCTGCATAAAATAATATATGAACACAACCCATCTTGCTAATCTTTATTCTAAAGTAATGTAAAGTGCTGTAGTGCCAAAGAAGATACTATCTTTACTTTCACTGCAACTTTCATTTCATGTTTTTACAATGTATAGCTATGAACAGATATGGCGCAGATATTATACATGTGAACTGGTGTTTTTTTTTAAACAAACCTACATGCATTATATTCACTAACCAGCAAAGTTTATAAATTACATGGTTGGGGTTCAGGACAGCACAGCTCTCTCCTTTGAACCTGCTTGGAATTTGAGGAGGGCTGTTGTGTATCCAGCCACCCCAAGAAGCTCCACACAAAGCAAGATTTCTCTATAGGAGGACTTCCGTTGTGAACACCCTCCCAAGGGAAGTCTGACAGTTGCACTCATCAGGCTTTTAATGGGCCGTGGAGACGGTATTGTTCTCTGTGACCTTTGCCCTTCAAAACTGGTTTTAGGGTTGGCATTTGGTATTGTTTTTAATCTCTTCTTAAAGAATATTGGCTTTTAAAAAAAATTGGTAGCTTTTAATATATTTTTTAAAATTATTGTACATCAGTTTGAAGGTCCTAGTTGGACAGAAAGATGATAGATAAACACTTCTAATAAATGATAATAACTAAATTAGGCTGTCTTCTGACCTTACAGATCGTAATTAAAAAATGGTCCATTCCTTGTCCTTTACCACCAAACTTGAGATTCTTCCAGGTATGCAAATTATTTGAAGTACTTCCTGAATTGTTACAGTCTTTTACATAATCTTTCAAAGTGTCATCTGATTATTTTATAAGTGCTTAAAATCGCTCAATCAGTTTCAGTGTTTTGAGTGGTCTAAGTTATTCTAGAGGCATTTGTTCTTCTGGAGGTAGGATTCTGTACACATACAGAAACCCTCGCTGGGTGTTTTGAAGAGCCATTTAAAGACTTGGCTCTTTAGGCAGGCCTTCCCTCCTGTCAATTCTTGAAATCTATCTTTTTGTTTTCTATTATTCCCATCTTGAATATTCCATCTTATTGATTCACTTGTTTAACGTTACAATGTTTTTATGTTTTTTATATTTGTAAGCTGCCCCGAGTAGATGCTGTCTAGGGGGAGGGGTAGAAATCTAATGAATTAAAAATAAATAAATAAAAATACAGCCATGCAACAGTGATTTCTGACTCTGCAGGTCTTGAATGACTTGCAGAAGAAGGTGTAGCCCTCAAAGTCACCTTTATCTATATTATTTCTAGATTGATTGATTTAGTGTCACTTCTAGGACATCTTGCTTCCCATAAAGGAACTCAAGGCATATGTTTAAACAAGTGAAATTAAAAAGCACAATAAATTGTACAGTTAAAAAACAGTGGAGTAAGTTGATAAAGGAAGCCACAACCTTGATTTTGCAAAAGCCGAAGAAGGATCTAACTGATAGAAGCTTTTGGAGGTCACTCATTCATAGGATCACTGTAACTTGGAGGCAACTTGATGGCACGTAACAACAACAATATCTTTAAATAAGAGGAACATGAAAATAAGTTTGAATATGCATTTTGGTTATGCTATAATTGCCACAATCCTATTGGCATTTGCATAAGATTTGAATAACTTGGTGTAAGTGCTAGAGTGTGTGTCAGTTGTGTGCCTGGTCACATGCTGAATTATGTAACTGGAATGGATCCCAAGCACCTCATCAATTAGCTGCAGAAAGTTAAGCAGACCTTATAGGCACATGAGTACGTTTCTAATTCATGTCTGCCAACCCATCTGTCACATGGGTTGATCCACATATGTGGGACTGCAAGTTCCAGAATTCCTCACCATTGACCATACTGGCTAGAACTGAAGTCCAGGGACCCAGGGGGACCATTGATTGCTCCTTGGACATTTTGGCACATGGACAGTTCAGCAACTGTCACGTGAAGGTAGATGCAATGTGATTTATATGTTCGTTCCTAAGATACTGAGGTCGTTTTTGAAATTACATGAACTGGATTTGGCTGAAAAACTTCACCCAATTATTTCCATGTTTATCTTACAGGCTTCAAATTCTACTACAGAATGTAAAGCAGCGTTGTTTAATTTTTCCAAGGAGGTAACCTTATAGCACTATTTTATAGATCACAGATGCTTTTAAAACTGTGTTTAAGCTTTGAGATAAGTCAGGGCTTCTCAGACAGTATTTCTTTTGCTGATGCTGATATTTTGAATTGGAGGGACAGGTTAACTGTTTTTAGTGTGTATGGCATGAGCCTCACTGTGAGGAAAGGTTAGGAGAGAGAGACCACCTGCCCACATGCCATTTCCTCTCCCATGGAAGACAGGGTTCCTTCGCCCCACAACAATCCCAGACCAGGCAAGAAGGGAGGCAAGGGGACACACACCCTGCAGAAACAGAAAAGATGGGAACATAAGAAGAGCTGTGCTGGATCAGGCCAAGGGCCCATCTAGTCTAGCTCCCTGTATCTCACCGTGGCCCCACCTGATGCCTCTGGGAGCACACGAGACAATGAGAGACCTGCCTCCTGATACCCCTGCATATGGCCTTTGGAGGTCCCTTCCTTTTAAGCCTGGAGATTACACATCCCCATCATGACTTGTAACCTGGGAAGGAACCAACGGGAGGAAGAGGAAGGACGAGAAGTAGGAGAGAGAATATATAGAGGGGGAAGGAAAAGGACAGGGAAGTAGAAGCTGGATGGACAGAGTCAGAGAAGGAGATGGTTGGCAACAGACTCCTTGCGGGGTGGGATTGACAAGTAGAATCCCTGGATGATGGAGTGGGAAAGGCAGAAGGGACCCGAGGAAGGAGGAACCTGAGAGGAGAGTGTGGGTTTCTAAAGAACCACCCTATTGGGGCAAGACAGAGAGGTGAGAGAGACAGAGGGTGGAAAGGGAAAGAAGGGGCCAGGAGAAAGTCCAAGCCAAAGGAGATAAGCCATGGAACTCCCTCCTCCCCGAGAGACAGCCTCCTCCCCAGAGGGAGGTGAGTGCCAAAACTCAAAAGAAGAAAGGGGGTCAAGGGGAGAATGGTGGGTGCCGCTGTCACAGGAGATGCCAGAGGTGGAGATTTCCTTTAGGACTCAAAGGAAGAGCTGCCGAGGCACCCAGAGGAGAACAGACTTGGGGGGGGGCGTTATAGGGAAGTTGCTGAACCCTTTCCTCTCCCCATTGGAGGGGGAAGAGAAGTTAGGTTTTTGGCACGTTTAAAGTGAGCTGCAAACAAGAAATATTAATGCATACAAGCAAGAAAGTGACTTAGACTCGTCCGTGGTGGGGGAACAAAAAGGGGGACAGTCCTGACCCCCACACCTACTTTCACTCTTCCAGCACACCCTCCCCCAAAAAATAATTTGCCAGGGAGAAAAAAGGCCAGGAGTTCCCCCAGAACACTTAGGGCTCACAATTTGTCACTGAAAAGCTTGGAGGCTCCCAGACCTGTTTCAAACCCAAGTAGCCTTTTTTTAAAATTTAGAAGTGACCCTGTTTGAGAAGTAAATGTATTTACAGATTTTATTTCCACTGTCTTCTCTTATTCTCTCCCCTTTTGTTGTGTTTTTAGAGTGCTTATGCCATTCCAACCATGGCTTTCTCATTTCTGTGCCATACATCAATATTGCCCATTTACTGTGAGCTCCAAAGGTAACACGTCATTTATAAAAAATATGGAAGTTAAACTGCAGTTGTGTAAAAGTACGATGAGTGCCAGGCAATCTCTTTTCTCCTTTATTTACGGCTTCTCTGGGAAAAAAACTGCCAGATGTCCCCTCCGTTATCAGTCAGTGAGTCTGCAGAGTGGACTAGGATTGTAGATGTACAGACAAATCACTGAAATTGCTCCAGCCTGTTTGTCCTGTTCCATTCAGGAACGTTGGCAAGTATTTGGATCCAGGTCCTAAGTCTTTAGTATCAAGTCCCGAGTTCCAAGCCCAAGTCCCTATTAAAAACAAGATTTTTCCCCAGAAAAAAAAGGAGTGGGTCATGAAGTGAGTCCGAGCTATTAAAAAAAACCTGACTTGAGTCCAAGTTGAGTTATTCATGCAACTGAAGTCTGACTTGATAGCAAGTCCCCATCCCTGATTCCTTTACAGTGGCGCCCCGCTTGACGACGATAATCCGTTCCAGGAAAATCGCTGTTAAGCAAAATCGTCGTCAAGGGGAAAAAAACCCATTGGAATGCATTGAAAACCGGTTAATGCATTCCAATGGGGAAATACCTCATTGTGCAGCGAAAATCGCCCATAGACAACTGCTGGTCAGCTGTTTAAAATCGTTGTCTTCCGAAGCTTCTGTCCAGAAAACAGCCATTTTACGAAGGGAAGCCATTTTGCGGAGCCAAAAAAAAACATCGTTTTGCGAAGAAACAGTTCGCGAAGCAGGGACCTAATCAATGTAAAGCGAAAAAAACCCATAGGAACCATTGTTTTGCAATCGCAATCGCAAAAAAACTCGTCAAGCTATTTCGTCATCAAGCGGGGTCGTCGTCAAGCGAGGCACCACTGTATTTACAAACTGCGGTCACTTTGTCCATTATCTGTATCTCCCCACCTGTATTAATATGATAGTCATATAGTCTCACTCAAATGGCTGCCAAAGTACCATATTTTTCCATGTATAAGACTATACTGTACTTTTGTCTAAAATCTTTAGACTAAAAATTGAGGGTCGTCTTATACATGGAAGTATGCTGAGGCGAGAACAAAAATAAGTGGAGGGGAAAGCAGGGATCAAAGTGATCCTGCAGGGCTTTGATCCCTGCTTTCACCTCCACTTGCTAAGCCCCACTTAGATTTCTTAATTTTGGGTTAGAAAAGTGGGGGGGTGTCTTATACATGGGGGTGTCTTATACACAGAAAAATACGGTAGATTTGATCCTCGAAAGCTTGCATTAAAATAAGGCAGTATTTAAGGCTATAACAATCTCTCTTTTTTGCAGTTTTCTGGGGGAAAAGCTGTTTCCCATATCGGCTGAACTGTACAGGGCCAAGGCAAAGGGGGCGAGGAAGGCGAGCCTTCATTGTTTCTTATGAATAGGGAGAAGTCTCAGAATTCTCCCTCAGAAAAGGCAGTTAGAGTATTAGATAGAAGCCCTGCTAACTTTCTCTTTGCCACCGAGACCCATCAGGCCCATCTAGGGAGAGCCTGTGGAAGCAACTTCCCTCTTGCATGCTTTGTCTGTTGTTCTGATTTACCTGTTGAAAGGATAAAGTGGGAAGGAGGACAACTAAGTTATTCATTCCTGAGCTCATTGGAGAAAAGAGAGGATATATATATATATAACAAATATTGATTGATTGATGCTAAGGCTGGAGGTTCCGCAGAGGCATCATAAATAATAGCCATGTGATATTCCTCCTCCTTTTACTGTTCCTAATGTCCAGAAAGCACTTCTCTTTCAAAGTTCAGTCAGCCATTTAGGAACTTACCTAAGTTCTAAGACCTTCACTAAACAAAGGAGTCTATTTCAAGTGTTTCTTAATCATGGGAAATAAATTCATTGATATCTATGATTGGGCAGCTGAAACATTAATCAGTGGAATCTTCTTTTGTGCTCACATCTCAAATAATTCCAATCACCTTTCTCCTTTTTTCTTAGTCCTTCCAAAAACAGGATGCAAAAGGTGGCCAACACAGGAATTGGTCTGAGCTTTCTCGTTTATTTTGTGTCTGCACTATTTGGATACCTCACTTTTTATGGTAAGGATTGTCAAGGTATTCAATCCATTTTTCCTTTACAAGGAGGAAGGAAGATCTGTACGCATGGTGACACTTGACACAACCCACCATAGGGCTGATATTGCTGTTTCCCTGGCATTTTAGCTTTAGCCAATACCCATACATGCACTACTAGTGGGTGATTAATGGGTCACTTACTGGGTAGGCCTCGTTTAATATGTTGTGATAATAACTGTATCTGGGTTTTTGCCTTCTGAGCTACTGTCTTGTGTGGATTCTTTAAAAGGTTGTTTTGTCCAATATGCCTTTGCCGCTGTTGTCAAATGTAGGAAAAAATCACTGAAATCGAGGAAGTGAACAACTCATTTCTGGAGGACTAGTTACATGGCAAGAGTCATGATGACTACACAGTGATGGCGAATGTATGGCACGCGTGCCACAGCTGGCACGTTAAGCCCTTTCTGCTGGCCGCCAGGCGGTCAAGTGAAGGGACTGGGTGACAGATGTTGCCCGCGTCCTGTGGGAGAAGATGTGGGAGGGGAGGAAACTTGAAGTGGTCAGGATCCAGAGCAGCTGGTGCTGGCGTGGAATCCGGAGTGGAGTCTCAAGGCAACTCCGTGCCCGGGATTCCCCCTTCTGCTGCCACTTCCAGTTCCGCCACCACGACGGTGACACACCACCCCCTGTTGTTGTTTTTCCCTCCAGTTTGGGCACAGGAGCCCAAAAAGGTTCTCCACCACTGGATTAGACCCTTGGGTCCTAGAATCCCGCCAGTCATACGGTCTCTTCTGCTCAAATAGTTTTCCCCTGGATTTGTCACTGTGGTTTTCTTCCCTAGCCTGGCTGGAAAGAGGGTCACCTATCAATATCTAAAACCAGAAGCCCAGGCATTATGTTTTCCTGGTATCCCAGTTTTGTTATCTTGTGCTTGTGGTTTATTCATCAGGGACTGAAATGTACTCTCTTCTTGTTTGCCCTATTTCAGAGTCCATTTTAGCTATTTAAAGTAGTGCCCAGCGTTGAGACCTGGCTCATAAAAAGTCCTCCTTGTGTGCCATTTAAAACCAGAAAACTGAGCAAATGTGATAGGGAAATGAAGTGTACACAATTGTGCAAAACCTCTAAACCAGAGATAAACACTAAACCACGTGAGTGATTGTGTTTTATCTCTTTTTGTACTGGATGAAATAGGCAAAGGGAGATTGTGGATAGCAAGAGAAAGCCTAAGGCTAGACAAAACTGGGGATAATGCAGATGTCAAGAATGCAATGAATACTTGCAGATTCTGTCATCATGGATGAAATCAGGTGCTCTGTCAAGAAAGTTGTCAAATATTGAAAGAGTTGTGCACAAGAATTAAAAGATCAGTGCTTTTTAAAAATCATTAGCAACAGTAACAAAAAACCCTCGTGAATTTGCACATGTTAGAAAACCTTGTATTTCCAGGGGGGAAAAACATGTATTTTGAATACATTGCAAGGGTTTTGCACAAAATACAAATTTTTGCATACTTCTGCAATTTTTCACAAAATGTTATGAAATGCAACACACACACACACACACTTTGTCTCTGTCTGTCTGTCTGTCTGTCTCTCTCTCTCTCTCTCTCTCTC